GCCCCCACCCCCCAGTCGGAAAGCGTGATGACGTGTCTTCAGGTCGCCGCCTCGTTTAGCTGGACGCTGGCTATTGCCGATGGTTAAAACGCTTTTGGTCAGAGTCAGAAGCTCGCTCGTCCCCGAGGCTCCATCTACGTGGAGCCGTTTCGGGTCTCCCTGTGGGACCCGATCAGCTTATCCAGCTCGTGGCTCCCGTGTACGGATTAAACGATGCTCCGTTGCTCTGGCGCCGCACCCTGACGGACTGGTTGAGGGGGGAGGGTTTCGTGAAGTCACTGCTGGAGCCGTGCCTGTGGCTCCGCAGGGACGTGGGCGCGCTTCGCGGCTTAGTGCTGATTGAGGTCGATGATCTCATCATCACGGGAAAGCCAGTTTTCATGGACCAGTTCAAGGAACGGGTCACTAGCAGGTTTAAGTTTGGGAAATGGAAGGAGGGAGAGTCAGACTTTGCCGGGCGCCATATTAGACAGTTTCACTATCGAGTGGTGGTTGACCAGGAGAAATACATACGAGAACAATTGGCAGTGTTACCTCTTGATCGCTCGCGGCGGTCCGATCCGGGCGCCAGTCTTACCCCTGGAGAGATCCGCTCGTACCGAGCCGTGGTTGCCCAGGTACAGTGGGTGGCGCGTGAATCTCGACTTGATGTCGCGGGCGGCGCGTCGATGCTGGCGGGGGCCATGCCGACGCCAAAGGTCAGCGATGCTATCACGCTTATTCGAGTTTGCAAGTATTTGAAAGCCACGGCGTCCCAGAAACTTACTGTGTGGGCCCTGGTCCCTCTTTCTCTTTGTTTGGTCACCGCTTCGGACGCGTCGGGGCCCGGGTCCGCGAGTCGAGGGGGTTCCCAAGGAGCCTGGTTGGTTATGACTGCCGGCGCGTCGATACGATCGAACCAACGGGCCCGGGTGTCGGTGTTAGCTTGGAGGTCTCAGAGGCTTAAGAGAGTGGTCAGTTCCACGGTGGCGGCCGAGACTCTGGCCCTGAGTGGGGCCATTGCTGAGGCCCAGCGGTTGCAAGTACTTTGGGGGGGCGCCGTGTTCGGCGACGTGAGTCGCCCCAGCTGGAACCTGGAGGCTTCCCCATTCTCTGTCGTGATGTCTAACAGTTGCCAACTAAGAAACCAGGCGGCGGCTCTAGCCGTGGTGGGCGCCAAGTCCGTGTTTGATACTCTTTCCAAGAGCGCCGCAGGATCCCGTGCTGATAGGAGAAACGCAATAGAACTCGCGGTGATCCACGATTCCCTGGCCGCCACAGGATCCCAAGTGAGATGGCTCCCTCACGGTCGAATGCTTGCTGGCCCTCTTGCCCATTCTGATCCCTCCAAATCCAATTTCGCTCTCCATGGCCTCCTCTGTCGCGGGGCACTATGCCTAGTGGACGAAGGAGGGCGCTTGGACGAAAGGTCCTTGAACATCTCCCTGAAGTCAAGGTCTCGCGGCGCTAGCCGAAAGGCTCTTATCGAGGAGGCTCGGAGAAGGGGCGAGGAAGGAAACGGGGAGGAGGAGGCCGCCCAAGGCAGGAAAGATTCTCGAGGAGCGTGACCGAGGGACATTAAGAAGGAAGACGAGGAGGAGAGTCGTTCAGGAGGCCCCAAGGAGCCCACCTGTGAAGAAGCCTCGGAGGAGGAAGGAGACAGGGAGGAGGAGGAGGACGAGGAGGAGAGGGGGGCGCCCGTGCCGAGGAAGGCTCGTGCGCGCCAGGACTCGGCGGCTCGGTGCACGACCAGATTACAGGCGCGACCCTCCTTGCCCGACCCGGTGTATGTTACGAGGTCGAACCCGGTAAAGTTGGGTCCGCTGTCCCCGCCGGGGTCCTGTGGGGTCCCCTGTTGTCCCTCTTCTCTCCCTCTCCCTTCGTGTTCGACGGTTGCTAGCCACTTTGGCTTAGGGCGAGACTCTCCTGAGTCTCACGAGATCGCTCGTGTTCGTACTGAAAACACGTTTTCTCTTCTTCAGATCCATTTGTTGTTCATTGTCTTCCCTTGCCCGTTCACACTTAGAGCCCATATTCATCCTGATGGTCTTTCGCTTATCCGGGTCAGAGTCTTCAGGGATTCTTCTTCGGGTCTCTTCGCAGTGTTCTCAGGGCCCTCTGAAGGCAATTTTGAGAGATCCTGAGAGCCTCCTGAGGCTTCTTGGGTGCCTCTTCGAAGCCTCTTGGCGCTTCCTGGGGACCCACCGGCTCCAACAACAGAGGAGGCGCCGGACCCACCGGACTCGCCGGACCCATCAGACCCACCGGACCCACCAGACCCACCGGACCAACCGGACCCACAGGACTCACCCGACCCACGGGGCCCACCTTACCAGTTTGAAACATATCCCTATCCCTATGTTTGACATCACCTCACGTCGATGCCGATCTTAAGGATTCCCTCAGTTTTTGAGGTTGTCCTCGCTTTTTGCTCGCCCATCTTAGGGATAGGGATAAGTTACTTTTAAGTTCGAGGCTGGTTACCACCGTTCCCGCCAGCAGCGCCGGATCCGGCCGGACCCACCGGGCTGGAGCAGCAGGGTGCACCATATCCTCCGTGCGCGCCGCCGGCGGCCGGCGTGACGGACAGCAGCTCGGAGTCGGCATCGCCGAGTGCCGGGAAGCGCTCGCGCGGGCCTCGGGCGAGAGCTTGGGCTCTGCACGAACGAGATGGGCACGGAAAGAATGGGTGCAATGCCCAACAGCAGTTCCTGTTCATTTTGAACTGGACTCGCTGTCCGCGCCGCCGCGGCCTGTATCCATTTGAGACTGAAGGCCGCCTGCCCAACAGTGGCCGCTGTTGGTTTGGGACAACATTTGTTGTTGGGCATTGTACCCATTCTTTCCGTGCTCATTTCGGGCGTCCAAATGGGCCACTCCACGCCTCGGCCTCCGCGCGATGTGCCACGGGCGGGAGTGGCCAGCACCGTTCGTGACGAACCAACAACAACACACACCCATACCCATGGGGGGATCGGAGAGGGCTATGGGTACGCGTTGTCGGATGGGGGTCCCCGCTCGAACGGGAGCGTTCCCCAGGGTCCGACAACCCGCACCCATACCCATAGCCAGTCCTCCTCCCAACGACGCCCCTGTGGGCATGGGTGCGTGTTGTTCGTTCGTCAGTTCGCCCAAGCCCCGCGCGGTGGAGGAGGAACACCACGAGGAGCAGGCACACCGCGAGTGGTCGGCCGACGGCCCGTGCACCGCGCCCGCCGACGCTTCGCGCGCCAGCCCAGGTTCTCGTAGTGGCAGCGGTGGCATCGCCAGCCTGTCCCCCGAGCTGGCTCACGCGCTGCGCCAGCGCCAGAGCCGCCGCCGCGAGGAGGAGGAGCCATGCCGCGCGAGTGGCTCGCCACAAGGGTGGCGCGCTCCTCACCTGGGGCTGACCAGGCGGAGACAATGGAAGGCTGCCGCGGACCAGCGGTATCCTTGCAGGCACGGAGGCGCGGATCCCCCAACGTGCAGGCATCTTGAGCCAAAATGGCTACGGAGGAGGAGGAGGAGGAGGAGGAGGAGGAGGAGGAGGAGGAGGAGGAGGAGAGGGAGTTGGAGGATGATGAGGAGGAGGAGGTGGAGGAGGAGGAGGAGGAGGAGGAAAAGGGGGAGAAAGAGGGGGAGGAAGAGAGGACGTTTGAAGACCCTGAAGCATGTCAACACATTGTTCTCGGCGCTCCAGCGCCACGGATCAACCTGACTGTTGCCTCTTGACGGCCCTGAATCGTGCCAGAACGCCATTGTTGGGATTTCAACACCGCGAATCATTTTAACTGTTGCGCCCATCGCAGTCGAGAGTCCTTCCGAATCGCTATTTCTGGTACGTCGAACATGTGAGTCGGTGAATATTTTTCCCCAACGGATGTACGCGGCGCTGAGGCGAGAGTCACATGTTGAAAAGGCTCCGCCCTCAATGCGTGAAACTCTTGCAACTTGCAACAATTGTTTATAACGAGTGTGCGCGGCGCTAATGCGATAACCACATTTGAAAACGACCCGCCGTCAATCCGTAAAACTTCTGCAATTCGGATTTATTCCAACATCGTTATTGACTCTTGGGATAACACTGGTCCTTCTCCTCCTATTCCTCCTCCTGCTCCTCCTCCTCCTCCTTCTCCAACTCCCTCTCCTCCTCCTCCATTTGTTTCCTTATGCATAACATCCCCTTGTCGCACCCCGAGGCCATTTTTTAAAGGCGGGCCAGGCGTTTCGCTTGAGACTTCCTCATTGCTCACGATCCTGAATCTTGAACATTGGCAACAGTTTCACTGATGAGGGGCGGCTCGTTTTCAAAATGTGGCTCTTGCCTCAGCGCCGCGCACGATCGTTTCAAAACTTTGCAACCGTTTCACGGATTGCGGGCGGCTCGTTTTCAAAATGTGGCTCTCGCCTTAGCGCCACTCGCATCATTCTCCGGATTCGAACGCCACGGATCAACCTGACTGCTGCGTCTTGATGATCCGGAACCGTGCCTGAACGCCTTTTTGTATGGATTTCAACACCGCGAACTAACGTAATTGTTGCTCCCTCACAGTCGTGAATCTTTCCATAACATTATTGCTGGTACGCTGATCATAGGGACCCGTGAAACTCTTGCAAATTTGAAACACGAGTGTGCGCGGCGCTAAGGCAATATCCACATTTTGATAAGGAGCCGCCCTCAATGCGTGAAGCTCTTTAGCAAATGTTTGACATGAATATGCGCGGCGCCGAGGCGAGAGCCACATTTTGACAACGACCCACCCTCAATCCGTCAAACTCTTTCAAATGGTTGAAACGAATGTGCGCGGCGCTCAGGCGAGAGCCACATTTTAAGAACAACACGCGCTCCATCTTTGAAGCTGTTGCCAATTTGTAAGTCTCAGGGTCATAAGTGGCAAGGTTGTCTCAGGCGAAACGCCCAGCCCGCCCGAAAATCTGGCCTCGATGTGCGACAGGGGGAAGCTATTTACAAGGGAAAGGAACAGAGGAGGAGTGGACGAGTGGGCGGTCAGCGGAGAGCCGGACGGGGCATCGGGCAGGTCTCCCAGCAGGGTGCCTCGCAGCAGGGCGCTTCGGGGGGCTGGCCCCTGTCGGGCGGCGGCGCCGGCTCCGGGTCGGCGGCGAAGCAGCTGTCCCCTGGAGGCCACCACGCCAACCCAGCGCGGCTTGTCCTCGTCCTCGTGCTCCTCCTCCTCCTCCCCCTCCCTCCCGCCGCCCCCTCCTCCTGCTCCCTCCCCCTCCGCCTCCTCCTCCTCCTCCTCCTCCTCCTGCTCCTGCTGCTCCTCCTCCTCCTCCTCCTCCTCCTCCTCCTCCTCCTCCTCCTCCTCCTCCTCCTCCTCCTCCTCCTCCTCCTCCTCCTCCTCCCCCCCCTCCTCCCCCCTCCTCCTGCTCCCTCCCCCTCCGCCTCCCTTCTCCTGCTCCCTCCCCCTCCGCCCCTCCTCCTCCTCCGCCTCCTCCCCTCCGCCCCCCGTCGCTCCGTCCCAGCACCCGCCCCTGCCCTCCGCCCCCGCTCCCCTCCTCCCTCCTGGCCTTACGAAGTCGGGCCTGTCCCTCTACAGGGGGAATATTCAAAAATAGTTCAAAAATAGTCAGGGGACGTTTTTTTTTTTTTTTATTCTGAGTATTTTTTGTAGTATTTTTCATTTTCCGCCCAAAATCCCCCCGTAGGGGGACACGCCCGACTTAATCCTGGCCCCCTGCCACCGCGCTCATCGATTCTTCATCCTCCGTCCTTCACCCTCCACTCCAGACGCTCCGCGTAACCACACCAGGATTTCGCAGCCCAAGCCGGCTCTACCTGCTGCCGGCGCCTGCGCCTGCGGCCGCGACGGAAGAGTAACCCCACCAGGAGGCCAACATGTGGCCACAACCCTAGTAACATCAGTGATTTGGGCGTCCTCGCCGAGGCTTTCTTGGACGCTCCAGCGCCTCGCTCCCCCCCCGGTCCAAACCCAGGGGTAGGGGGCAGGGAAAGGTGTATTGCCCTGCCCGAAGGGGAAGGAGGGTTGGAAGAGGAAACGCTCTAAACCACTCACGCCCTGAAGTGTTGGTGGGATTCTCTCTCTCTCTCTCTCTCGTCTCAGGAGGGGAGAAGGCACAGACACGAGTAATCGTCGATTCCCCCGGGAAACATGGAAAACATGGGAAGTGGCGGGGAAGACGGAAGTCCAGAAAATATGGAAACATACGGGGGATCCGGGGATCCATGTCTATCCAGTTGTGCGCCCCTGGGTCCCTTCGTCATCCCTCGTCCATGTGCCTCATCCGCTCCCCTCCCGTCCTCTTCCTGCTTGACCCCGGTCCCTCTTCCCCCCCTGCTGCTCCTCCACCGCCATCTCGAGCTCTTTACAAGACGAAGCCAGAACGAGGATAAATTTGGGCGAGGAAATATCGACAATCTCTGAGACCGGATGGCTCTGGAGGATATATCAGGCGTCGCGGCCTTCTCGGGGCGTTCCAGCACGCTCTGAAAGCGTTCCAGAACGCTCTGGGATGGATTTATCCTCCCAGCCCCGTCCGACTATCTCCTTCCTCTCTCGTCTCCTTCGTCTCTCCTACGCAACGGCCCGAGGCGGACGATCCGGTTACTATATCAGCACCTCACCGGCGCGCTCTGACGCTTGCTTTTTCCCCTTATAGCCGAGGTCTGGGGTTCTTTTCATTCGTTTCCCGTCGCCGCCTCACTCACCACACCCGCCTCCTTCATCTCCCATTCAGCTTCAGACTTCTGACACTCGGACCACTCGCACTCAAGCTCATTAGCAGTCACTCTCATACTGACACTCAGACTCGGAACTACTTTCACTCAGCTCAGTCATACTCAGACTCATACACACAGACCACACACTCATATTCATCACAGTCATACCCACTCACTCAGACTCACTCACGCAAACTCGCTCAAACTCAGACTCCGATTCAGACTTACTCACGCCCAGACATACTCATCATTCACACTCCGGCTCGCCGACCTTTGATCAGCACGATGTAGCAGGCATGCCGTTTACCGTTTGAGCCCAAGGTGTGGGGATGTTTTGAACGGTTCGCTTGTTTAGGGAGTATCAGTGTTTAAGGAGGGGGAAAAACACACAGACACAATTAATCGTCGATTCCCAGGAAAATATAGGAAAATATGGGAAGTGGGGGGGAAGACAAAAACCCAGAAAACATGGGAAAACATGGGGGATTCTTTTATTTGTGTGTTTTTATTTGTGTGTTCTTGGGCCCCTTGAGTGTTTCTTTTTCAGGGTCCCAGGGCAATCGCGACGCAGCAGGCTCAGCAGTTGGACACCCAGCGGCAGGGATGCGACCAGCCAGGCAGGAGGCACGTGGCCTAGAGGGTGTAAGGGGGGGGTGGTGGAACGTATGGGGTGACCGGTTCGCTTGCTGAGTGGTTCGTGAGCGGTTCGCTTGCTTCGAGTGTATGCGTATGTGTGTGTGTGTGTGTGTGTGGGGGGTGAAACGTATTTTGTAAGAGCCGATTGGTCCTCGCGATATGCCAGGCATTGCACTTGGACCCCCGACGGGGGAACCGACAGGCCGTTCGCGCTCCGGTTGTGGTGGTGTCTCGGGCAAAACGCTTGTGTTGCGAGGTCGACGTCTGCCCTACTGGGTGTGCAGTGTAGCAGGCATGGCATTGTGGGGCCCTCAAAGGGGAGCCGCCAAGGGGTGCATCGCGGGTTCGTTCGCGGTCAGATTCTGAGCACGTGTCGGCCCGCCCAGTTCCCCAAACCCGCCCATCGTCAGAAATGCACAGCGAGACGGCTCGCCAGACAAGTGATGCACGTACGGGGATATCCGTGTCCGGTGCTTCCGTCAGGCGCTGGAAATTGGTGTTGGCTGCGCTCCCTCCTTCCTACCTCCTACCTCTTGCCTTCTTCCTCCTCCCTGTCCGCGTCTTTCACCACCCACCACACCACCCCAACCCAACCCGAAGGCTCAGATTTACCATCGATTTCCAGTGGGGGGGGGGGGTCGGGAAACATCCAGAAAACACGTGTGGAACCCTTACCCCCCCCCAACCCGAAATTCGGGTCTTCGGGTTGGGTTGGGGTGGTCTGGTAGGTCGTCAGTCTTCCGCCCGAAGGCATGAACGTTAACGCGGCGGAGTTCGTGCCTGGGGGCGCGGCGGCCTCCTCCGCCGCGAGGCGCAGCCTGCCGGCGGACGCGCCCGAGTTTGTGCCCGCCGCGCGGCAGGCTCCGCAGCAGCAGCAGCAGTGGCAGGCCGTGCAGCCGGCAGGCCGGGGGCTCCTCCTCCTCCTCCTCCTCCTTCTCCTCCTCCTCCTCCTCCTCCTCCTCCTCCTCCTCCTCCTCCTCCTCCTCCCCCCTTTGGTTCGAGCCCTCCCCCCTCCCCTTCGGAGGGGGGGGCGGTTATGAGAGGCCCCTGAGCGACCAGCGCCCCCTTGGCTTTCCAGGCGCTTCCAACTTTTTTTCGAGGGGGGGGGGGCGTTTCGACGTGTCCAAGGGTTTCATTCAAAGCAATCGATCGTCCACGAATCGCGTTCCTCTCTCTTTCTCTCTCTCTCTCTCTCTTTTTTTTTTTTATCTCTCTCTCTCTCTCTTTTTCTTATGTATGTATATATGTATACGCATGCACCCGCCAGCCCACGCTCCACGTCAGACTTGCGATGGGCCGGTGCACTACCTGATTGACTGGTGTCGTGATGAGGAGTGGTGCTGGAACACGTGTAGGATGATTCTCAATTGCAATGTTTGCCATCTTTCGGTTCTGTGGTCGAAGGTCGCTTCGCGGGCTGTCGGCATTGGTGCACACTTGACCACTTGGAGTTGCACCGCTACTTTGTAGGTCCCCTCACTTCTGCTTGCAACTCCCGCGTTGCCTGTGTATGATAACCTCTGTATCGTTATGTCTCCATTCTAGCATGCTGCAACCATGACAGTGTTGCATATGTCCTTTTGCCCTGGCGGGCGCTTCCATACACGACGAGTCAGCATCCAGCGTTGTCGCGAACGGAGGAGGAGAGGGAGGACGAGGTGGACGGGGTCGGACTGGGAGGGATGAGGACGAAGAAGACCAGGATGAGCAAAAGAGAGGGGGCGCAGCCGCTGGATGAGGAGGACCAGGAGTCAAGAGGAGGACGAGGAATAGGAGGACGAGGGGGGAGCATGAGGACCAGGAGCAGGATGGAGAGGAGCATGAGCAAGAGGAGGCGAACGAAGGGGGGGGGCGAGAGAGAGCGCTGCCGACCCGGCCAGCAGGCCAGCCGCAGCAGCAGCAGCAGCCGCAGGTGTGGCCGGCGCAGCAGTTCTCCATGCCGCAGCAGCAGTGGCAGCTTCTGCAGCAGGCCCAGGTGCAGCAGGCCCAGGTGCAGCAGCAGGTCCCCAGCATGCAGCTGCAGCAGCTGCAGCAGCTGCGGCAGCAGCAGCTCCTGCAGATGCAGCAGGCGCAGCAGGCGCAGCAGCAGCTGCAGCAGCAGGCCGCCCTCGCGGGCGCCCCGCAGGTGCAGCAGCCGCTGCCCCTGCCCGCGCAGCAGCCGACCGTGCAGCAGCCGGCGGCGCAGGCTGCGCCGCAGCCGCAGCCGCAGCCGCAGCCGCCGCAGCAGCCGCAGCCGCAGCCGCAGCCGCAGCCGCTGCCGCCGCAGCCGCAGACGCCGCAGCCGCCGCAGGAGCAGCCCCCGCTGCCGCCGCAGGCGGTGGCGGCCGGCGGCGCGCCCGAGCCGGCCGACCCCGCGGCCCCGTTCGGCCTCGTGGCCGCGCGGGCCTCAGTGTCCCGCTGCTGCCTCCTGCTCGTGCTGCTCCATTCCTCCGATTCTGGCCCTCGTTCTCTCTCTCTCTCTCACTCTCTCTCTCATTCTCTCCTTCATGTTATGTCTCTCTCTCTCTTTCTCTGTCATTCTCTCTTTCGTTCCCTTTCTCCTCATCACTATACCTCATTCTCTGTTTCAATTTTGTTTTGTTTCTTTTTTCTCTCGCTCTCTCTCTCTCTCTCTTTTGTTCTCTCTCCCTGTCATCATCATCCAGGTCGACTCGCAACTTGCAGAGCGTACTGGCGGCGTGACCCTGAGGTCGCTTGGCGTTCTTT